ATTGAAGATGTACAATTGTGCCTATAAACAGATGGTTTGTATCATATGTTGAGTATATGTATGGAATAAAAATAATCTTTTATTTTTTTTATTTTCTATTCTCTACTTTTCCTCTATATTCTACCATTTATTTTATAACATGATTCAAAGTTTTAAATTAATTCAATTTTTATAAGATTCAGTTTAACAACTGAACGGTAAATAACAACAAATTTTGACAAAATACCTAATTTACAATTTCACCATTTTCACAGTTTTTTTTTGCTGAATTTTTCTTCCTTTATTTTAACAAATTTGAGACTTGAAAGCTTGGTTGTTAATCCTTAAATTGTTATAGTAAATGTTTATCATGTATAGTGAATAACTAGATGAAATTTGTAAATAATATGAAAGAGAAGTCTCATTCATTTATTTTAATAAGTTTAAAATTTGGAAAAAACACTTATTGTCAACCTCTTATAATATACTAACTCCGGTCCTTAATATAAAATCTTATTTGATTTTTATTTTGATATTAAATATAAGACTCTAGTCCACTTGTCTCTCATATTCATACATTTTTTTCTAAGATAATCCTTCTAACAATGATAGTTCTAGTTAATATATTTGATTAGTAAGGAGATTTTAGGAAAAACAATCCCTATTTATTACAAATAATTAACATAACTTATTTTTAAACCTCCTCAAATTAGTCAACTAACTCTTATAATTAGGACCGGAGGTAGTATAATTAAAGAATTGTGGTGCATAGTTAAAGGAATTTTTCAAATAACATGAAGGAGGCACCTCATTAATTGTCAAACTATCATAATATCAAGTAACTAACAAAGTGTGGTGAATAGTTAAAAAATGTTGTAGTTAACCTGTAATAAAACTTAATAATTAACTTATGTGCCATTACATCTTGTCTTAAACATGAGATTCAGGTAAGAATTTGTATTGGTCTCACTTATAAAATCTCAATTTTTTTTTTGTTTCACTGGCTTACATCGCCTCTAAGAGGAATTTCATCCCATTTTGGTGCCCCGACACTAAAATGAGATTATGAAAGTTCACGACACCACTTGTGTAATTTTCCCTAACTAATATGCAGATAGTTTATCGCTTTTAAAAAAATTTATTCCCACTATTTAGTGATTAACATTTAATGTGAAGAGATAAAAATTGGCCAATAAAAATAGAGCACTTCTTTCTTTCTTTCTTTCTTTTTTGCCATCAAGCAAAGGTATTTCTTTCTGTTACTATAAGGCGTCTCCGATTATCTCAATAGAATCAAGAAGATGTGATCAGGCTATCAAATTTGCATCCGTTTAAAACCCAGTAATCATATCTCGGGAAAGAAAAAAAATTGGATCAAATTTTTAATAAGACAATTTAAAAAGTATATAATTATTATCCTACTTAGTGATTCATAAATTTTTTTTATCAGACTTGGCGATCCATTTTGAGAACGAGAATAGCACTATGGAAAAAAATTTAATACTACTTCTGATTCTAATTATAAGAGCCAGTTGACTAATTTAAGGAGATTAAAAAAGTAAGTTGAATTAATTATTTGTCCTAAATAGATGTTATTTTTTCTAAAATATCTTTGTTAATCAAGTATATTAACTAGAACTATAATTATTAGAAGGATTATATTGAAAAAAATTAAATAAATATGAGAGATCAGATAGATTAAGATCTTATATTTAGAATTAAAATAAAAATTAAACAAAATCTTATATTAAGAACAAAAGGAAGTAAAAAAGAAAGGGGAAATCACAAATAAAGACCCTTGAATTAGCAAAATCACTCTATGGTCACCTGAATATGCTAAATTACTATGAGGGACCCGGTCTCAAATTGTAATTATGAAATCATGGCCAAATTACCAAAATACCCCTCTTTATTATTATTTTTTTAATAGGGAAAGCCACTACCTCACCGGAATCCAGCCACCGGCGCCGGAGCTTCGGCGGCCGGACGCCGGGGTCCGGCTGCCGGAGCTCCGGCGCCGGCGGCCGCTTCCGGCGGTCTTCCTTTATTTTTTTTGAAACTGTTTTTTTTTTAAATTGGGGGGAAGTGAGGTTGGGGGGATTTGATCCCCCAACCTAATGCTTCCCAAAATAAGGAATGACCATTGAGCCAACAAATTTTTGTTAACATTATGATGCAAAAAAAAATATAAGTTAACTCATTTACTCTTGTTCCAGGTGATAACAACAATACATTTGGAAATAACAAGTTCTGATTGTAAAATAACACGTCTGGAATAAAAATTTAACAATATGTTTTTTTTATAACAATAAATTTTGTTGCAGGCAATAACAACAATACATTTAAAAATAACAAGTTCTGATTATAAAATAACAAGTTTGGGATTAAAATTTAATAACACGTTTTTTTTATAACAATACACTTTGTTTCAAGTGATAACAATAATACATTTAAAAATAATAAGTTCTGATTATAAGATAATAAGTCTAGGATTAAAATTTAACAACACGTTTTTTTATAACAATTAATTATTTTATACTTTAAAAAATAAATTATTTATAACTTATAAAAAATATTTTTAATATATTTATTTCTCTAAAAAAATACTTTTTAATCTGTATATCTATACAACTCATTATAAATCAAACTACTTCTTATAAATTATAAAGTATTTATAATAAGGCATTTTTGATTTATTAATCATAGTATAAATTTTATATTATTTCATTCTTTAAATATTAAAAATAGTTTTTATATTTAAAGAATAAAATAGTATTTTTAATTATAAATTAGAGATAAATTTCATTTATAAATTTAAGCAGTCAAAAAGTATTTTTAATGCACAACAAATTGTACTATTTATAATTTATAAGAAGTAGTTTGATTTATAATAATTTGTATAGATATATAGATTAAAAATTTTTTAAAAAAAATTAAAAAAGTGTGTTGCCATTTTCCCTAAATTTTATTTATAAATTTGAACAATAAAAAAGTATTTTTAATCTATAAAAAATTATACTTCAAGTTCTGATGATAAATTGGAGATAAAAATTATTTTTTAGCAAATTAAATAGATTACAAGTACTTTTTATAAGTTATAAATAATTTATTTTCCAAAAGTATAAAATAATTAATTGTTATAAAAAAAGGTGCTGTTGAATTTTAATTCCAGACTTGTTATTTTATAATCAGAACTTGTTATTTCCAAATGTATTGTTGTTATCACTTGAAACAAAGTGTGTTGTTATAAAAAAACATGTTGTTAAATTTTAATCCCAGACTTATTATCTTATAATCAGAACTTGTTATTTTTAAATGTATTGTTGTTATCACTTGAAACAAAGTGTATTGTTATAAAAAAACGTGTTATTAAATTTTAATCCCAAACTTGTTATTTTATAATCAGAACTTGTTATTTTTAAATGTATTGTTGTTATTGCCTGCAACAAAATTTATTGTTATAAAAAAAACATATTGTTAAATTTTTATTCCAGACGTGTTATTTTACAATCAGAACTTGTTATTTCCAAATGTATTGTTGTTATCACCTGGAACAAGAGTAAATGAGTTAACTTATATTTTTTTTGCATCATAATGTTAACAAAAATTTGTTGGCTCAATGGTCATTCCTTATTTTGGGAAGCATTAGGTTGGGGGATCAAATCCCCCCAACCTCACTTCCCCCCAATTTAAAAAAAAAAAAACAGTTTCAAAAAAAAAATAAAGGAAGACCGCCGGAAGCGGCCGCCGGCGCCGGAGCTCCGGCGGCCGGACCCCGGCGTCCGGCCGCCGACAGTGGCCGGAAGCGGCCGCCGGAGCTCCGGTGCCGGTGGCTGGATTCCGGTGAGGCAGTGGCTTTCTTTTTAAAAAAAAAAAAAATTAAAGAGGGGTATTTTGGTAATTTGGCCATGATTTCATAATTACAATTTGAGACCGGGTCCTTCATAGTAATTTAGCTTATTCAGGTGACCATAGAGTGATTTTGCTAATTCGAGGGTCTTTATTTGTGATTTCCCCAAAAAGAAACCCCGCATGCAAAAGCAAAGAGAGTAACTTGCTTTGAAGTTCGTGCGCTACACACAGAAGAACTCGAAAATCGGCTATTCCAACGTTTTTAAATACTGAGACCAATCATAAACAAAAAAAGAAGATGTCGTGTCGGCAGGCACGCTGAGAGCATCATACTGCATGTGGGCGTGCAGATGTCCACTGTGCATCCCTGGTCCCGTACGCTACGCACCGTTTCCTCCGCTGCCTGCCGCACCGCTCCTTCCTTGCCTTATTATTACATTCCACCTGTCACCTCCGCCTTCCCCTCAATTCACTCCTGTACCCACCGAAAAGAAACGACATCGTTCCCCACTCTCATCTCCGCCAATATTTGCGCTGCACGTGGCTTCCCTTCCCAACATGACGCATTTCTTAAATTCTCTACGATTTTGCCAACATGATCACATGCAATGTTAGCCTCTCTTTTTTCCCACATTAACTTGAAAATCAAATTATCGGCCCCAAATTTAAATAATTCAAAATGAATTATCCCTATTTTTTTAAAAAAATATTCTTATGATCACGTTCTTTTATAACGTGAATTGAAAGAAACAGTCGTGATTTGCTACTTACCGTTTAAAAAAAAAAACTCATGTTTTATGATCATATTTTGCTCAAAACAATCATAACATTTTACATCTCTCGCTCAAATTCCTTTAGGTTTTATTGCTCCTTTAAAGGAAATTAATTCAAAAAATAATGGTCATCCGATGAAATTACTCCGTATTTTTCTTTTCATCAGGATTTTTTTAACTGTGTATGTCACCGGAAAACTTCACCATTCATGCCATAACCGTCGCAACAGTACTGTCACGTGTCTATTTCAGAAGGAATTGGTCCCGTGTCGGTATGCTCTCGCAGCCTGTAAAGTACTGGACACGTGTCAGTTCATGCCTCTGCTCTCACCCCCCTGCGATTCCAGAACACACGAAAGCAACCTTAAACCCGCGCTGCTAGTAACAAGTTCACATATTGATCACTTCACACGTTTATCCTTCTCACTCTCCCTCTCTCTGAACCACATACCCCTCCATTTTTCCCGGCCATCTCGTCGGAAGATTCTTTCTCTCATGCTTCCTTTGTCAAATCATTCGTCGCCGGAACCCCAACCTCACCGAAGACCCAGAACTCCTGAGCTATTCGACGGCAAGAGCTCTTTCAATTCACTTTCGAACTTATTCCAGCCCCTTTTCTCTCCTCAAAACCCTCGCGTATGGATCCTCGTTATCGTCCTCTTCATTCAGATTGTACTCCTCTGCAACCTCCGTAATTTCCCCACCTCAATTTCTGTTCGCTACGGCCACCATGTCCACCATCACTTCCCCACTTATCTAGCCCCCAACAGCGTCATCGAGCATATACCCAGGGAGGAAAACGCCTTGGTACAGAAGATACCCGGTGAAAACACCATCGCCGTCGCCGAGACGTCGTCACATGAGAATTCCGGCGACCAGGACCAATGTGGGTCCGGTAGAGTCTTCATCTACGACCTTCCCAATACCTTCAACCGGGAAATTCTCGAGAATTGCGATAACCTCAACCCATGGAGCTCCCGGTGTGACGCGCTTTCAAACGACGGATTAGGCCAGTTTGCCGGTGGACTCGCTGAAATTGTGCCGGAGGATCTAGCTCCGGCGTGGCACTGGACGGATCAGTTCGTTTCGGAGATCATCTTCCACAATCGCATGCTGAATCACAAGTGCAGAGTCACGGAGCCCGAATCCGCTACGGCGTTCTACATCCCCTTCTACGCTGGACTCGCGGTCGGGAAGTACCTTTGGTCCAAATCCACCGCAGCCGAACGCGATCATCACTGCAAGATGATGCTAGAGTGGGTCCACAATCAACCCTACTATCAAAGATCCAACGGCTGGAATCACTTCATCACCATGGGCCGCATCACATGGGACTTCCGCCGTTCCAAAGACGAAGATTGGGGTTCTAGCTGCATCTACATGCCGGGAATGAAGAACATCACACGACTTCTCATTGAACGCAACTCGTGGGACTACTTCGACATCGGCATTCCCTACCCCACCGGATTCCATCCCCGATCCGAGTCGGACCTAACTCGGTGGCAGAGCTTCGTACGAGAACGGAAGCGAAATACTCTCTTCTGCTTCGCCGGCGCGCCACGTAAGTCGTTTAAGAACGACTTCCGAGGTCTTTTGCTGAGTCAGTGCCGTGACTCGTCCGGGTCTTGCCGAGCCGTGGATTGTGCGGGAGCAAAGTGCTCTAACGGAACGTCTGTGATTCTGGAAACATTTCTGGACTCCGATTTCTGCTTGCAGCCCAGAGGAGACAGCTTCACGAGGAGGTCGATTTTCGACTGTATGCTAGCTGGTTCGATTCCGGTTTTCTTCTGGAGGCGAACCGCTTACCTTCAGTACGAGTGGTTCTTACCTAGTGAACCGAAGAGTTTCTCGGTTTTTATAGACCGGAATGAGGTGAAGAATGGTACCTCCATTAAAGCTGTGCTGGAAAGGTACAGTAAAGAGGAGGTCACGGCGATGAGGGAGAAAGTGATTGAGTTCATACCCAAGTTTGTGTATGCAAAACCCCAAGAGGGGATAAAGGGGATAAAGGATGCTTTTGATGTTGCTCTTGATGGGGTTCTGAGAAGGTTCAAGGAGCAAGAAGAATCAGGTTTTACTAAATGGTAACACGGAAGAAGATTGAAAAACCCATCTTGTTGGTTGTTGCTGATGAATTGGGTAGTGTAATAGAGTTATTTTCACAGATTAAATTAATAGATCTACAATGAGCACCCCTCTTGGCCCCTCCCCCTGCATTCGTCTCTGATGGGCTCGTGGGTTGTACTATAGTATGTGATTCTTTCTATTGTGACCATGGATGATACACTCATCAAAAACTGTTGTTGTATATTTGTATTAATTTTTTCACAGAGAGAATAAAATTCATTTTTGAGCACAATAATTGCTTAGTTCTGCAGTCACTGTGATCGCAGCAGCTGGCTGGTAGCTACTGAGAAATCACCCCACATTGTGATGACATGTAGTAGAACGATGCTTCCTGCAATAAAGATTGGTGGTCCTCACTGATCTATGATTTGGATAGATTATGGCGCTGGTCTGGTCTCTGGGTGTTCAGGGTTTGGCCAATGATGAGATGAGAGAAATAGACACAGCATCACTGATACAAATGCATTATAAAAACGGTATATCGCCATAAATTTATGGATTTGTACTGTTTGGATAGGTATATCCAGGGTGTGCTGGATCTGTTTTGTAGAAGATCTGTCTTCATTTTTATCAGTTCGTGATGAACTTGTGCGCCATAATCAGTTCTTAGAGTGAAGCTTGGAGAGGTGCATGTTATGTTATGCAATTCTCTTGCATTTTAGATTATCCTGAAGAAGTTATAAATACACGAGACTGAGGCAGATGGATTTGTCTGATAAGAGAAGATAGCTTCGAGGCAAGTCACTTGCAACTACTTTCAGTTGTAAGTTGGGACAATTAGTTATTCTTGAATTTGGGTGGAATTTAGAGCATGTTATCCCTGTATCAGTTAATGGTAGTGTCATTGCCAGGAGAATCTGAAGCTGGATTTGCTTTGATAGTTTGCAAGCTGCAATCTGCAGAGGATGACTAGGAGCCGCTTGAGGGTCAAGATATTTTATTTCTTGATTTACTGAAACCAAAATAATATTGGAAGATGATGCGGGAAGGAATCCAATCCAATTTCCGCAGTGACTTGTGGGGCTTAAACTTAAAGGGGTTTAAATGCATAAAAAAAATAGGAAGGAAATGGGGAATCTGTTACTTTTGTCTTTTACTCTGTGTAAAACAAGCTGGGAAATTAAAGCAGGGTGGCCCTACTCATCTTATTTAAAGGCCTTTAGGATTATTGAAGTTGGAAAAGGGGAAAAAAACAAATCAGAGAAAGGGATTCAGTCACACAAGCTTTCCAATTCTTTCATGGACGTATATATTAAAGAAATTTTAAAAGAGTGAGTGTTGGTGTGGGTATTATTCTTTGCTTTTAGTAAACTACCTAGGCTGAATTACTAAAGCCATCCCACCACTTTGTAGATACCAAGCGTAGTGTTTTTATATAGATAGGAGTGGCTGGCACAGTAAATATGATTCTAATTTAGCACAAAGCCATCTTCATTTTTCTTTAAAAGGGAGTGCCAAATCATGAGGTTCACTACGGAAGGTCCCTGTATTAGAAAATTAAAAGTTTATTAAAAAAATGTCATTTTGTAAGTGAGAAAAGTGATCATCGTATTAAACAAATGCTAAAATCATGTGCAAGCTTAAATCGTTGGCTCATTCTCAGTCTCTGACCATGTCAATATATTCTGGGAGGCAAGTGTACCGACAAAATGTAAATAAATCACACACATTAAAAAAACCCCTTTATTTTAAAATTCAATAAATTACTAATTAGGGTTACACGATGACACACACAAAAGAACCCGGCAGATTCAACCTGATTAAAAAAAGAAGAAAATCTAAATTTTAATGAACTGAGGTTTACCTGGCAATTGTTTACATGCCCAGTTCCGACAAGTAGCAGCCTCACGTGCCTAGGATTGAAGTAGTGCTCTGTGGATTGTTCTCACTTCTCACTAAATAGCTTTGTGGTAGGGCTAAAATACGGAGAAACTATTCGTTGTTAGTCTCTTGACCCATTTTACCTCAGCATTACTCTTTGGGCCACAAGCCCAACAAAGCAAGTTTCACTAAAAATATGAAGACGGGTCAAAAAGGGGGCCCATGTCAACCTCGCCCCAGACAAGGAAAATACAAAATTTTAAATAAAAATAAAGGAGACAAATAAATGCTCATTGAAAATTGTCAAGATTCAAGAACCACGTATCGATCCAGTGTGCAGGTCGATAGCGCGCGTGTCCACGTCTCTTGCAATTTTCGCCCAAACCATGAGCGTATGTGTCATTCCACTGGTTTTATATGTTTATTTTAATTTCTTAATTTTATCTTATTATATTTTATTTCGGGAAAATGACAGATAAAGAAGGTGGAATATCTGAAATTCCAATTTGGGAAGCTAAGGAAATGTAATGACAATGAGGGAAGTACTTCCCAAATTGGAATTTTGAAATTCAGTGAAATGACAAAAATGCCCTTTGTCTTTTTTTTTTTTTAAAAAAACACCCCACCTCTCACCGGTGGCCGGCCGTCGGCAACCACCGCCGGCAATTGGCCGCTGGCGGCGGCCGGTGTGGTGGCTGCCGGTGGAAGTTTTTTGTAATAGTTTTTTTTGTGTGTGGGAGAATATTGCAAGAAGTGGTAGGGGTGGGATTTGATCCCACGACCCCTTGGCCATTTGGGCCAACAAAAAGACAGATGACCATTGGGCCATCAAAGACTTATTAACTTTATAATGCAAACAAAAATATAAGTTGACTCTTTTACTGTGACTCCAGCCTGTGACAATAATTTACCTCAGGATGACAAGTCTTAATTGAGAAATAACAAGTCTAAATTTGATATTAACAAAGCGACTTTTCCTGATACATAATAAGAAGTAACAGTATATTAATTAAAAATGACAGTTTATTTGAATATGACACGTCTTTACTGAAAAATGACACGTCTAAACGTGAGATTAACAATATGCCTTTTTTTATACATATATAACAAGAAGTAGCATGTACATTAATTAAAAATGACCATAATTTATTTGAAAATGACACATCTTTACTGAAAAATGACAAGTTTAAACTTAAGATTAACAATGTGTCTTCTCCTGATACATAACAAGAAGTAGCATTAACAATATGTCTTCTACTAAAAAATGACAAGTCTAAATTTCAGATTAACAATATGTCTTCTCCTGATACATAATAAGAAGTAGCATTAATAATATGTCTTCTCCTGATACATAACAAGACAAGTCTAAACTTGAGATTAATAATGTGTCTTCTCCTAATACATTACAAGAAGTAACATTAACAATATGTCTTATACTGAAAAATGACAAGTCTAAATTTAAGATTAACAATGTGTCTTCTCCTGATACATAACAAAAAGTAGCATTAACAATATGTCTTCTCCTGATACATAACAAGACATGTCATTTTCAAATAAATTATGGTCATTTTTAATTAATGTACATGCTACTTCTTGTTATGTATCAGGAGAAGACACATTGTTAATCTCAAGTTTAGACTTGTCATTTTTCAGTAAAGATGTGTCATTTTCAAATAAATTATGGTCATTTTTAATTAATGTACATGCTACTTCTTGTTATATATATATAAAAAAAAGACATATTGTTAATCTCACGTTTAGATGTGTCATTTTCCAGTAAAGACGTGTTCTTTTCAAATAAATTGTCATTTTTAATTAATATACATGCTACTTCTTATTATGTATCAAGAAAAGTCGCTTTGTTAATATCAAATTTAGACTTGTTATTTCTCAATTAAGACTTGTCATCCTGAGGTAAATTATTGTCACGGGCTGGAGTCACAGTAAAAGAGTCAACTTATATTTTTGTTTGCATTATAAAGCTAAGAAGTCTTTGATGGCCCAATGGTCATCTGTCCTTTTGTTGGCCCAAATGGCCAAGGGGTCGTGGGATCAAATCCCACCCCTACCATTTCTTGTAATATTCTCCCACACACAAAAAAAACTATTACAAAAAACTTCCACCAGCAGCCACCACACCGGCCACCGGCGGCGGCGGCCGGCCGACGGCGGCCAATTGCCGGCGGTGGTTGCCGGCGGCCGACCACCGGTGAGAGGTTGGGTGTTTTTTTTTTTAAAAAAAAAGACAAAGGGCATTTTTGTCATTTCACTGAATTTCAAAATTCCAATTTAGGAAGTACTTCCCTCATTGTCATTACATTTCCTTAGCTTCTCAAATTGGAATTTCAGATATTCCACCTTCTTTATCTGTCATTTTCCCTTTTATTTCCTTCTAATCGGGTCATTTATAAATTTTGATAATATAATTGGTTGTAAATTTTATAATCCATATTAACGCTCATAATTATATTTTACAGGGCGAGTAATTAATTATTTTATCAAATCTCTCTCTCTCTTATTTTAATTTTTACAAGGCGAGTAATTAATTATTTTCAATGCTATCAATTTTAGTTTTATTTCTCTGGATAGACTAATCCGTCATTTTGTCATTTTGTTTTCTTTGGCCTGAAGCTCATAAATTGCTTGCTCGGGGATCTCGAGCGACGAACGAAGCGATTTCAGGCCGCATAATACACAATCTGTAAAAAGCTAAATTACTCCACAGAAGCCATATATCGATCTTTGATTCTTCAGGTTTCGCTTCGGAGAAGATGATGAAGACGGAGGTATTTCTGCAACTCCTACTCTTGTTTGCCTTTGGAATTGGAGCGACTCTCTCAGTCGCAGAGTTCCAATCTTCTACTCCAGAGCCTCACGCGGCTGAATCCTTCAATGTCAGCTATATCCAGGTATGCCTCGCAAAACCTCTTTTCGTGATTAATTTCTCGCCCTTTGATTCTTTTATCCTGTTTCATCGTACATGAACTATGATATAGCCTGTGATTTTCCTTCTTAATTTCTTTCGTTTCTCGTGATATAAGATGAAGAACGTTGGGAGCTGTCCTTACACGGTGATTATATCTACGAGTTGTTCGTCTCCTGTATATACAAGGGATCAGATCAGTATTTCTTTCGGGGATGCTTATGGCAATCAGGTCTTTTTTTTTTTTTTTTACCAGCTAAGTTGGATTCATCAATTTATTTATTGCATTTGCTAGAACATGAGGTCTAATTTTAATTGGAATTCAGCTGTTCGGAGAAGATATTAGTATTTTGGAAGTTGAAACCTTTTGGTTCTTTAATTGGTTCAAGATCGACTTATCGAAATTGGTTCTTATTTTTTCGGTGAATCATATCATTTTATTCGCTGTCTTGTTTTATGGCAAAAGACCTTGAACTCCTTTTCTAGGTATTTTGATTGTTTCAACTTGAATTGTTCTAGAGTTAACTAGTGTTTGGTTTTGATAGGTGTATGATTCATCACTTTAGTCCTTAGAAGTCACGTGAGATCATATTGATATTTAAACAAAATTTGAAATTTAATGATAGTAATTATCTTTCAATCAGCCAGGAGAGGGAACATGCAACTTTTGGGGACCCTAATGGTAATTTCTTCTTGTTGTTGCATATATTCATTCTATATTGGTATATATAGGAAGGACAGTGGTTTAGCATAGACTCTGCTTGACAGCTATAGAATAAAAGATCAGACTGGAGTCTCTAACTGATAAATTATGGAGCGTCAAGAGCAGAACAAATGATTTTCATAGTGATACTGGGGAAAGCAATAGTAGGTTGATAGCTTTAGAATCCATGTTAACAAGAAGCAAATAAAAGGCTCAATCAATGAAAGCAGAAAGAAAGGAAGCCTCATTTGGGACCCGCTTTTAACTAATTGAGGTAACTTATTCTTGCTTCTTTTTCACATATTGATGATCAGATATATGCACCAAGACTGGATGATCCATCTTCAAAAGCATTTGAGCGGTGTTCTTCGGATACATTTCAGATAAATGGTCCATGTGCATATCAAATTTGCTACGTATACCTTTACAGAACTGGACCCGACGGCTGGAAGCCACGAAGTGTGCAAATTTACGGTCATAACACAAGGGCTGTTACATTTAACTACAACACATTCATTCCTTCGGATACGTGGTACGGGTTTAATTTGTGCAATGCTGCTTCATCTTCAAGCCAACTATCGTGCAGGAAATGGTTTTTATGTGTTGTTCTAGGGTTTGTTTTTAGTTTCTGGATGTAGATATATGTTATGTGTTCTTTCCATCTGTCTCTCCACTTCTCTGTAACTAGGAAACTTTGTATTTCCCGCGAAAAACATAGAAACATGATAGGTTTAAAATGACCCGTGTCTGATTCAGTGTATTCTACTATTCTATGGCCGGCTTGTTTTGTCTGACTCATTATGTTCACTGCAATGTTTCAATACGTGGTGCTAGATAGGTGCTTGCTAGGCAATTTACATTACTTCCAACAACACCAACCCCCCCCCTCTTTTTTCGGAGCTCAGTAATAGCGTACTTTTGGCCTCATGAGCGTGGGACTCAGTTTTGTATTTACATTGCATTTCTAGTAAGCAACAATTGGTAAAATTTGTTCTTCGGTCAAAGAAAAAAAATTTGGTGAAATTTGCTATGCAATCTGTTTAACTTCATTTATTTATTGGATGTTTTCCGTTGAGAGGATTTAAACCACTGTTTTATCTGTTGTTCATTTCAGTGTATTTGAAAATGTTTTATCAAAAGATTTCAGTATCATTATTTTTGTCAAGTATACTTCTTAAAGTGATTAAATTAAAATCTTATATAAACTTAAATGATTAAAAATATTTTTAGCCATATAAAATATGAAACAAATATGCAATTTATGATATGCATTTGTTACGCCATTTTTTTATTTTTGCCCTGAGAAAACTTAACACCGTATGTTTGGATTAGAGTTGAAGTTCCAGAAAAGAAACACATTCGGGGAAAAAAATTCAAATTCCTTTTTTTTTTTTAAAAAAAAGCTGGATGGTAGAAAAGTTATTCTTCGCATTGTTTAAATTCAGCAAGGTGGAATGGAGGAGGATATTGTCATAACTTGCAGGTTGACAATTTCTTTTTGCAATTTCGAAAAGATAATAAAATTAATATTAATAATTGAGTTACAGCAATTCGTTTTGGCAAAAATATTGCAGCCATTAATAGTTTAGCACCATATAGTTTTTAAAAGTAACTTGATTCATTTTATTCAGACAAAAATTATTGCATTATTGATATACACTTAAAACTTCCGATCACTCTGACGCTTAAGGTAATACTCGTAATTTACATTAAAAATCCTAAATTGATAAAATCTAATGCAGTTATATTAAGAATGCAAGAATTCTGATTTTTTTCATATTATAATTAATTTTAATTTTTTTAATACAAATTATAAAGCTCTGGAATAACAAATTAACTTTAAAAGTAAATTTTTATAACATAGAATTTCTTTAATTTTTTGACGCATTTTTAAAATTGATATTTTTTTTAAACTAATCAAAATATAATAAAATCAAATTGAAGTGCTGAACTATACTCCTCATTAAATTTAAATCCTTATTTATCATTTTTCGAGGAAAATAATTGTTCTTGTGCTAAAAGATACCATCATTGGTGAAAAAAATCATTATAATTATGGTATTACCTCTGCTTCTGAACGGGGACAAAAATATTCATTTCAATCTATTTAGTTTTTTTTAAATTTATTTTTTATTAATTTCATATATCATTAAGGAGCTCCTAATCAAGAACTGGTTTCAATATACATAATTAAAAAGAGTAATTTTTTAAAAAAAATAAAAAATGTTTATTATAATTAATTAAGTTAACTAAAGCGGCTCATTAATCATGATACGTTGCCAGTTAGCGCAACCGTAAAACCGGTACCTGCTTCATTTTCTCCTGCTCTCTCTTCCGCAGTTCACTGCCTTGAGTCCTTTGATGCAGCCGAAGTCTCTACTCTTCCTTCCTTCTCTCTTTTCTTGTACCTTTTACACATAACATAACTTTATTGAGACATATTTTTCCGAGTTATCCTATAACATCATGCCTCCTGTAGCTCCCTCTGAGAGCCCCAAAGGAAAGAAGGAGAAAAAGGAGAAGAAGACTAAGAACAACATTTCAACTGAAGAGGCATCCATTGGTAAGGAGAGCACGAAAAGTTCTAAGCTTACAAGAAATATGAAGGTGTCTGATTCTGACCAAGATGGGTTTTCGGACAAGAAGGCGAAGAAGAAGGAGACCAAGAAGCGTAAATCTTCGGATATTGATGGGGTTGGAGAGAAGAGCGAGAGTAGCTCGGAGTTAGTTGAGCCTCAAAGTTCGAGGGCGAAGAGTCAGGAGAAGAGAAACAATAACAAAAAGCCGAAATTCGAGGAACCTGACATGGGGGAGGAGGAGGTCGAGAAGAAGAAGGATCCCAATGCAATTTCGAACTTTCGGATATCGAAGCCCTTGCGGGCGAAGTTGAAGGAGAAAGGGATTGAATCTCTATTTCCCATTCAGGCCATGACCTTTGATACCATTCTCGATGGTTCTGATTTGGTCGGTCGGGCGCGCACTGGTCAGGTGCGTTCTCTTTTTATCCTTTTGTGTATTTACAAATGCTTATGATTTCCTGGTTCTTAATAGTTACAACACGTATTTCTGGGGCCCGGAGGTGGACGGAATTCCTGTTAAGTTGATATGAACATTTAGTTACATAGTTGCTATAACTCTCGGAGCCAAAGTTTCAAAAAGATCATTCTGCATTTGACTGATTTCAACTTTTTATCGTTTGCATTGATTGTCAACTGTTGGGAAAATGTAGGGTAAAACACTGGCTTTTGTGTTGCCCATATTAGAGTCTTTAACCAATGGTTCGGCTAAGGCATCCAGAAAGACTGGCTATGGGAGGTCTCCAAGCGTTCTTGTGCTCTTGCCCACTAGAGAATTGGCCTCTCAGGTGCATTACGCAAGAGGCGGTTGCAGAAAAATCTTCATGTGATCGATATATGGATATTTGTTATTCCTTTTGTTTATAATGTGTTATGTGATGCATTAGGTGTTCTCTGACTTTGAAGTCTATGGTGAGGCGTTGGGTTTGATTTCCTGCTGTTTGTATGGTGGAGCTCCATATCAAGCTCAAGAAATTAAGCTCAAGCGAGGTGTCGATATTGCTGTTGGAACACCAGGCCGCATAAAGGTAATTACCATGTTGCATGCACGTGTGTCTCTATGTATTATGGAGCTGCTGTTATTCCTTGTTATGGTTATTAAATTATGGCTAGGATGGAAGCTTCAGTTTGTCTAAGAAAGAATTTATTCTTGATTTATATGTGAATATCCATGTAGGATCATATAGAGAGACAAAATATTGACCTAACTCAACTAAGGTTCCGTGTCCTTGATGAGGTAGATGAGATGCTGAGGATGGGTTTTGTTGAAGATGTTGAATTCATTCTGGGTATGTGTTTTTCCCCCTACCTGTAATGCATGGAATGCTGCTATGCTTCGATTTTAGGGTAAATTATGCATATCTGATGGAAGATACTTCAATTACTCTTCACATTCTTATCTGTTGATATTCTTTACTCCATATATGGTTAAATTGTCACAGATTATTGAGATGTTATCCAAGGTTTTTGGGATGATAAGATATTTTTCAGAGATGTAAAAATCTGCTCTATATGTTATGCAGGTAAGGTTAAAGATGTTAGTAAAGTTCAGACACTTCTATTCAGTGCTACTTTGCCAGACTGGGTTAAGCATGTATGCTTCTGTGTGATGATCTCTAGTGTCAGAATTTTTTATTGTTACAAAAATTTTGTTGCCAAATATGATTTTGTTGCCAGATTTCCTCGAAGTTTCTGAAACCAGATAAGAAAACTGTTGACCTCGTTGGGAATGAGAAAATGAAGGCTAGCACCAATGTTAGGCATATTGTTCTTCCATGTACGAGTTCTGCCAGGTCCCAGCTTATCCCAGACATTATTCGCTGCCATAGCAGGTGAACTTTTATGATTCACTTGCAATATGTGCTTAATATTTTTATTTTTATGGTGAATCTATTGAATTTGGCGCATCATTATATTTTGATGGTTTTGATTCAGTGGAGGCCGGACAATCATATTTACTGAGACAAAGGAGTCAGCTTCTGAGCTTGCAGGGCTTTTGCCTGGAGCTCGAGCTCTACATGGGGACATACAACAAGCACAACGTGAGGTGAGATGTACGAAAATTTATGATCTGTGTCATAACTTTTGTATCCTTGTAACAGATATGTTTGCTTTTGGTTGATTTTTTTGGCGGACAACTTTTTTTATTTCTTTTCTTTTCTTTTTTTATCCGCTGAAATCCACCCTGCCACTTGCAGGTCACATTGTCTGGCTTTAGGTCTGGAAAATTCATGACATTAGTGGCCACAAATGTAGCAGCTCGGGGATTGGATATTAATGATGTTCAGTTAATTATTCAGGTACTTCTGGCGCATTTACTTAATTACTTATATTATATTGAGTCAATATTATGACTTTCCTAATCTGTATGGTGATCTTTATATTTGGTTTAGTGTGAACCTCCACGTGATGTAGAAGCCTATATTCATCGTTCTGGCCGCACAGGACGAGCAGGTACAAATGGAATGCAGATAATTCAAAACAGAAAGTTTAGGGTAATCAGATTTTGATAATGCTGGCGTTAAAATTTTCAGGCAATACTGGAGTCGCAGTTATGCTTTATGATCCAAGAAGGTCAAATATATCTAAAATAGAAAGAGAATCAGGCGTGAAATTTGAGCACATATCAGCTCCTCAGCCTGTTGACATTGCGAAAGCTGTTGGTGGTGATGCTGCTGAAATGATAAACCAAGTGTCCGACAGGCATTTTTTTCCCCCTTATGTGCAAATGTTATTTTATGCTGTCTTTGTTGTTAACAAATGTCATAAATGCAGTGTAATTCCTGCATTCAAGTCTGCTGCTGCGGAACTTTTGAACAACTCTGGTTTAACAGCCGTTGAATTACTTGCAAAAGCTCTTGCCATGGCTGTTGTGAGTTCCCTGTTCTCCTAACATTTCCTCAGTCTATCTTTTTGTTGCAATTGTAATTCCCTCGTCAAACCCTTCATATTCAATATGCTTCTCTAACTTGGGAAAAAAATTGATTGTATAATGTGCAGGGTTGTACCGAGATAAAGAAAAGATCACTTCTTACTTCCATGGAGAATTATGTCACATTACTTCTTGAGATTGGAAGACCCATCTTCACACCATCGTGAGAACCTTACAGTGAACCACGCTCTTAAACTAAGACGCTTGCATGTTGTTCTAAATCAGTTCCTGATTAATATCTTAATGATTACCTAAGAATACTTGCTAAATTTTTTTGGAAAGGTCTAGATGTTTGCCTTACTGATCCTTTCATTGTTGTTTTTTTTTTTGGGGGGGGGGGGTTAATAGTTTTGCATATGGAATCCTCAGGAGATTTCTGCCTGAGGAGAAGGTTGAGGCAGTGAAGGGTCTTACTCTAACTGCAGATGGAAATGGCTCCGTCTTTGACGTGCCAGCTGAAGATTTAGATATATATCTTGCTGGTAAGATTCTACTTTGAGCTATGCATGTGAATTAACTTTGTAGGGGTTGATTTGGCCCTACATTTAGCTTTCATTTCGGTTGTTATTTTTCTTCTTAAGTGATGTTTACTCTTTAGGTCAGGAAAATGCTGCTAATATAAGCTTAGAAGTATTAGAAGAATTGCCACGTTTGCAAGAAAGAGACCAGTCAAGAGGGGGCAGATTTGGTGGTGGTGGTCGTGGCGGGTTTGGTAATAATAGAAGTAGTGGCCGTGGAAACAAGTTTTCCGGTGGAAGAGGAGGTGGCAAGAATGGTGGTTTCTCAAATCAGAGGAGTGATCGGTTTTCCGGTGGTTCTTATGGTGGGAGAGGCCGTGGCGGCAATAGAGGGGGGAAGAGATGGTAAAGAAGATATGGAGCTGAGGTAGTCAAAGATGACTAATTTTTTTTCTTTTTTTCCGGCCAACGATGACTAAAATGCTTATAGCAGTAATTTTTTTCAACATAAAAATGAAAAATATTTACTTAGTTCTCTTCGTAACTCATAGGATATCATTTTTGTTCACTCTTCGCTAGAAAGAAAGCGTGAGGTTAGGTTTTTGTCTGTAAAGCTGAGCTCATATCTGGGTAAGAGGACTACTTTTCACCTTATGATAATTGTAATGACATTGTTTTGATTGAAATGCCAAGTCTACAGAAAATAAAAAAGAAAGGAAATTGTATCTGACTAAAATTACAGGGAACAATTTATTAATACATGATAATTATATTTATTCCCGATAATTTATTGGTTCAGTTGCGTTTTTGCCCTCTTATTGTATGTTTTCAATCATAATTCATGTTTGGAAGTCTCGCAGTAAAATAAAATAACTTACAGTTCTTGTGCTGCGACCACGAGAAAAGAACTGTTGGGGGGAAAACATGTTCACTTGTCCTGTCGTTCGTAATTTCACGAGTTCAAGAAATTTAAACTTGACGTTTATGTTCAACTTTTAATTCATCTCTATGTATGAGAGAGATTTATCCTTGCGTAGAATGGAATTATATAAACCATTGTGTTTCATGTACGAGGGGGTTGGGGTTTTACTTGTAGGCCTTAGTGTCAGTTATTATGGTTACCCGCCTGGAGTTCAAAACTGGCGAACCCAGATGTCTCAAGAACTGCCTTTCAAAATTAATAGAAGAATGCAAGAATTTCAGAGAGGCCAAACAAATCCACGCTCAGATTGTGAAGTCCCCACTGTTACCTACCGATGACCAATATTATCTCATTACTCGTCTCCTCTTCTTTTGTGCTTTTTCGAATTGGGGTTCGTTCACTTATGCTTCTAAGGTTTTTCGGACGATAAAGCACCCGGAAATTCGTGCCTATAATATCATGCTTAGATCATACGCGGATTTGAAGGATGATGGTGAAGATAGCCACATTTGCAGGGCTTTATTGATTTATAGAGAAATGCTTCGCAATGGCATTTTACCGAAAAACCTCACTTTCCCCTTCCTTTTAAAGGATTGCACTAGGAGGCTGGATGAAACTACTGGCTTAGGAATTCATGCCCAAGTCACCAAGTTTGGATTTTATGATGATATTTTTGTTGGGAATTCCTTGATAAATTTGTACATGGCATGTAGGTTGTTAAATAATGCGAGGAAGCTGTTTGATGAAATGCGAGTGAGAGATATTGTCACTTGGAACTCAATGATAATTGGGTTTCTGAGAAATGGAGAGCTTGACAATGCAATGGAATTGTTCACGAGGATGAGTGAGAAGAATATCATAACCTGGAACTCCATTATTACAGGGTTGGTTCAAGGTGGCCGACCAAAAGAGTCACTGCAACTTTTTCATCAAATGCAAGTTTCCAGCGAAGACACTATGGTTGAGCCAGATAAATTCACAATTGCTAGTGTCCTTTCAGCTTGTGCTCAACTTGGTTCGATAGACCATGGGCAATGGGTGCATAGTTATTTGAGAAGAAGTGGGCTAGATTGTGATGTGGTACTTGGAACAGCACTAGTGAATATGTATGGTAAGTGTGGGCATGCAGATCAAGCAGTTGAGATCTTCAAAGAAATGACTAGGAAGGATGCTTCAGCATGGACAGCAATGATTTCGGTGTTTGCCCTTCACGGCTTAGGTGAGAAGGCTTTCGATTGCTTTCTAGAGATGGAAAAAGCTGGAGTGAAGCCTAACCATGTAACATTCGTGGGGTTATTGTCTGCTTGTGCTCATTCTGGTTTGGTAGAGAAAGGTCGGTGGTGCTTTGACATGATGAAAAATTTACTCAATTGAACCTCAGGTTTATCACTATGCTTGCATGGTTGACATTCTTAGCCGAGCCAAGCTGTTTGAGGAGGCAGAAAGGCTAATAAGAGACATGCCAATGAAGCCTGATGTTTATGTGTGGGGTTCATTACTTGGAGGATGTCAGATGCATGGGAATATAGACCTAGGAGAAAAGGTAGCTATCCATTTGATTAACTTAGAGCCTCATAATCATGCTTTCTATATGAACTTGTGTGACATATATGCCAAAGCTGGCCAGTTTGATGCAGCTAAAAGAGTGAGAAATCTAATGAAAGAAAGAGGAATCCAAAAGGAAATCCCAGGCTGTAGCATGATTGAAATATGTGGGGTGGTTCATGAATTTTCTGCAGGAGTTTCATTGAATGTTGCGAAGGAAATTTTTTTGATCGTAAATGAGTTAAATAATCAGATGAAGTTACCGGGATGGTGAAAACCAGTATCTTGTGTGTATTCCATATATGTGTGTGTGCAGTGTGGATACTATATTGTAGTTTTGCATAGCCTAGAGTTGCTAATAGATTATATATGGTGCACCTGTGTTTATTTATTTTATTTTAATTTATTTTTTGTTGAATTAGATGAGCAAATACTAATGGCATGATATTATAAGCGGAATTCAACCGATGACTTCCAACTTCCATGGAACTTTCATGCCACTATTTCAATTTTTTCATATTTTTGATATTTGTTTAATTATTTGTATGCTTACGTGACAAATTAATGCATATATTTCCTTCAATGACAATTTTCTTTTTAAATTATTGAGTTTTTAAGCCAATTTTTAAAAATTGGTTTATTGTGAAGCCACGTGCAATTTTCTCTCACTACAATTTCGTCATATTTCATTCAAAAATTTCCTCCTCCATTTTACATTTTAAATATCACACCCACACCCACATACTGTTTTACTATTGTTACTGTTAATAAGAAAGTATGGGATCTTTTATAAACTCCCCTCCTTAATGAAATCCACATAATGATTAAAAAATAAAAAAATATTTTTCTATATATCCATATTTGGAGTTATGATTATTCAAAAATTATTTAAAAAAAACAATGTACTCATCTTAAATTTTGTGTAAAATATGATTAAATAATTTACTTGACCTGAAATTTCCTGAATATCAATATCATGACTTTAGTAGGGCCAAAAGAATCACGACCCGAAGGCTTCTAGATGCTAAATTCCTGTTTTCCTTCTTGTTTTTGTTTTTGTTTTGCCATCCGGATGCTAAATTGAGTAAATTCGCCGTATGTAATTATTTGCGGGAAATAAAAGAGAGAAAAGCATGTAATCGATGGACCTTATTATGATTATCAAAACGGTAATCCTTATCATATCACTATAAATGGTCTGTTTGGTGGAATTTAATAATGATAAAAACTTTACACTGATAATAAAAATTGCATAATTTTTTTTAGTAATGTTTATTTATAGGGGCTCTCTATGAATACTCATTATAAGCATGCAATCCTTTATAAAATAACTATTTTGTCCTCACTTAATTGTGAATCATCATCAAAAGCCCTACTACGGAGAAGTTTCACAGTGAAGTTGATAACCATTTTTCCAATACATCTAATCTCAAGGGATTTCATTGAAAGTTGATAAATTCCTTTTTCTTTCCCTTTTCATTGACCAACAAAACTAATAGCTCGTCAGTATCCAAATTTCATATGAATGATGCAAAAAGCCTATCAAGTTGCAAGAAATGAAAGAATAGGAACTCGAAAGCCTGGGAAACCAAAAAAAAAAGAAGCAAAATAACAAGAAGAAATAACATAGGAAAAGAATTCATAAAGCGACAACTTTGAATTTGATAATGCTGAAATACAAAGATGCATATTGTCTTAATGAAGAGAGGAGAACCATAAGCAAGAACCCATAAAAAACAAGGACAGACCATCAATTCCATTAGCCAATCGTCCTCCATTGAGAGAGGAATGACGGAGCCGACAGCGTTGGTATCTTGAAGAAGCTTTTCTACACATTTGAGGGTTTGAATTATTACTAAAAGTAAATTGGTACTTTTACTATATATTAATTTTAGATAATTATTAAAAAATAACTCATTGCACTTTTCTTAGAAAACATATCAAACAGTATCCTTGTAATTAATATTACATTACATTTCCATTACATTACACTGCATTACATTACAAGATGCAATTGAATTGGACCAAATAGGCCCTAAGACTTTTTTGGTCCCTGATTTAAGCTTTTTATTTATTTATTGATATAGTAGGAGTATAAACGGTGATAAAATAAAGAAATATTATATTTTAGGAAGTATTCACCGCTATACTAAAAATTGATTAGTGTCTGAATAAGTGAAGAATTTAATTAAGATTTCTATGAATACATTCCTTGTCAAACCTAATCAATGTGGCAATTATTATTTTCAATTAAAAAGCGAAATTGCTCATATTTCGAACGATTTCAGTTTTGTCTGCCGGTGAGATTCTTCACAATAATATTCTCGCGTGATTTCCTCCCCAGAAAATTAATTCATCAATAATGAAATACTATCTCTTATCCTTAATATAAGAGTTAGTTAACTAATTTGAGTAGAATAAGAAAATTTATTAAGTTAGCGTTGTCTTTTCCAGAATACCCCTACTAATCATGTGTATTAACTAGAACTATCATTTGATATAATCTTTAATACGTGCAACTAATAAAAGAACTATTTAAAAAAACAAATAAATATGAAAGAGAAAATAGATTGAGGTCTTATATTTATAACTAAATTAAAAGTTAAACTAGCTTTTATATTAAAGATAGGAGTTAGTATATTTTTTTTTTTGGATGAATGAGGAGGCAAAGTTTTTGTTCATCAGGTGCAATTTAGAATATACTCTTCCGGTATTTACATTACAGAATGTTTCTTATATTTAGGATTGGAGGAAGTAATGTATAAGGAGACAAAACTGAAATTGTTAATGATTTCACTTTTTAACCAAAAAAATTAAATGTCACATCTGTTATAAGGAATGAAAATTGTTTTTTAGGTGAACGCTTTTTGTACAATATAATATTTAGGTAAATTCTTCTAGCATTTTCATTTTTTTTTCATTTTGAAGGGGGGGGGGTGGTTAGATTCGCACGTTTGATTTGGTCGTTAGGTGTCAAACCTACCTTGAAGTTGAAGGCCACAATGTGGTCCCATGAAGATGCCAGATAATGCTACTGAAATATGAAATAGTAACTTGGTCTCTGTAACTTGGCAGCCTCATTTCTGTGATGGATTATCTATTTGGTATGAGCCCTCTGGTTTTAGCATTGGTGACTCTGTGTTTCGCTGCTGTTGCAATCAAAATCCATGGCAGAACCAACAAGAGAAGAAGATACCACCCACTTGCTGGCACTGTGTTGGACCATCTTTTCAACTATCA